GTCAAATAGCAAAAATGTTAGAAACCAATCAAGAGCCCTTCAATGGGATAAGGTAAGCAAGTTATGTATGTGCACTTTATGAGACATTAACTACAGTGTAAACAAACGATGGTTATAATTATCATATAGTAAAACAGGAAAATAATCTTTGGTAAACTATCAGGTTGAATAAAGCAGTGTTTCCAAAAATCAGCGCATATAATTAATTATAACTATTGTCAATCCTAGAAGATCTTAGAGTGGAATAATATTAGTATGAGGAATAAAATATGAGTATCAGTGCAGAATCAACCACAGAGCTATGAAAAATCTAAACCTAAAGGAGCTATGGCTTCCAGGTCTTTAGGACTTGGTCCTTCTCTGCTACCATGAATGATGTGGCTGTGATTAGAAGACGAGTAGTGGCCTGATGGGTCCTGTTCCCCAAGTCTGACTTTCAAAAGCCATCTTGCTGTGTGCAGAATAGCATTTAGCCCTAAACCTTTCACCTAAGGGGTGGGGGTTATGAATATATATGACCAAATTATTGAAAAGAAAGGAAGGAACACAAGTCTAGCACCAAGGAAAGTCTCAGAGGATGGGGCTCTCCAAGAAGTCAGGGCAGCAGATGATCACGTCCCCGACGCGCTCGCATGGGCCCTTGGGCAAGGGGCTTAGGAGTCTCAGGTGCCTCCAGTGTTAGTAACAGAACTCCTATCTCATAGAGGTGCTAGCAGGCTTCTGAGAAACAACCCACGAAAGGTAACTGGTAGAGTATCTGACATATAAATCTCTGGACTGAGGCAAGGTATTGCCATCTCATTGTCATTTTCAGCTTTCTGACAAACATTTAAAAAATGTCTCAACTCAGTCTCTATAGTCCTGTAAAATATATCTGAGAAATAACTATGTAAAGTCTATTTAAATCATTAATCATTCATTTTAAAAAGTTCTTGTTTTTGTCTGATTGCTTTGGTTTTACCAGTTTATTTATTTATTTGAAACCATAACAAAAGAAGAGGAGGCACTGGGGTAAAGAGAGAGTGAGAGATCTTTCATTTGCTGGCCCACTCCCCAAATGGCTGCAACAATCAGCGCTGGATCAGGCTGAAGCCAAGAGCCAGGAACTCCATCCAGATCTCCCACATGAGTGGCAGAGGCCCAACTCGTTGGGCCATCAAGAGCTACTTCCCGGGTGCATCAGCAGGGAGCAGTATTGAAAGCAGAAGCTGGGACTCAAAACAGTATTCCTATCTGGGATGCCGGTGATGCATACAATGGCTTCGTCCACCATTCCACCAGGATACCCCCTGACTGTTTCGCTTTGATGGCTTCCTCAGATAGTGAACTACTTAGCACCAAAGTTGTGGAGTTAAGCCCAATAGTGAAGCTATAAAGAAATCCATCCTGGGAAAGTAACCAGCTGGCCTCTCAGGTGCCTAAGATTCTACAGTCTTTTTCTCCAAGATGCGTGTTTGTGTTCCTCGTTTACTCTTCAACATGGAAATAAGAAGCACAGCTTTTATCATCCTATAAACTGAAATCTTTTTTTTTCCTGTACCAAAGTTACAACTGCAAGAGAGATAAGGAACAAGCTGGCAGCGCTACTGTGTGCCCAGCTCCTTTTTAGAAGCA